TAATAGCGGCTTCTACTCAAGATGAAGTGGGAATGATACCCTCCTCACTTCATGACAAGGCCGAAGCTAATGACTCCTTAGCTACCCCGCAGACATATCTAGACCAAACTATGCTCTGTACGTTAGATGTGTCTGAGGCCTTAGAAGACTTAGAAGGCGAATGGTCAAACAAGGATCCTCGCGAGTCTTGGGTGGCGCTAAAGAAGGGTCCTAGAGGGGAACATTTCGTTGTGGAAGTGGATGTAGGAGGCCGCAAATGTGGTGCCTTCATAGACACAGGCTCCACGCGAAATTACATAAGTCGCGACTGTTTGGAAAGGCTGCACCTACAGGACCGGGTACGACACCTTAGTAGACTTGTAGCATCTACTTTGGCCAACAAAGAGCGCATGATTGTCACAGACTACCTCAAGGACGTAGTCTGTACCTTCTCCTATGGAGGAGGTGAGCTTAACCATAAGATCTCGTTCTTGGTTAGTAACGACTTGCCATTTGACATGTTGCTAGGCATGTACTACCTCGATATTGCTAAGCCCCAGTTTGACTGGGATAAGAAGGTGCTCAAACAGAAGTTGCCCGATGGCCGAACTGTCAGAATAACTAAGTTCAAGGCCAGTAGTATTATAGATACCTATGGCTGCTTGTGCGCATCTGCGTTCTACAATTACTATAAGCAAAACCAAGAGGAAGGTATGTACCTTGTTTATGTCTCTGAGAAGGGGGAGGCCGTTAAAACACCCCCGGAGATAGAACGTGTCGTTGCTAAGTTCCCTGATCTGTTCGAGGAGCCCACAAGAGTTGTTGATAGGGAAGTCGTCCACGCTATAGAAATCATTCCAGGGAGTAAGACCCCAAAGGGAAGGATCTATAGGATGRCCCCTGCCGAGTTAGATGAACTTCGGAAGCAACTCAAGGAGCTGACAGAGAAGGGATGGATTCGGCCTAGTACTTCCCCTTACGGATCACCTGTGTTATTTGTATCAAAGAAGGGGGGTACTTTGAGGATGTGCATTGATTATAGGGGCCTCAATGCCATCACGGTGAAAAATGCAGAGCCTCTACCCCGCATAGACGACCTATTGGATAGAGTGCAGGGATGCAAGTACTATACGAAGATAGACTTGAAATCCGGATATCATCAGATCGCAATAAGACCTGAGGACCAACACAAGACAGCTTTTCAGACTAGATATGGTCTGTATGAGTTTGTAGTGATGCCTTTCGGTCTTTGCAATGCGCCGGGTACATTCCAGCACGCTATGAATCGGATCTTCCATGACCATTTAAATAAGTTTGTCATAGTCTATCTAGACGACATTCTGATCTTTAGTAAGTCTGCCGAGGAGCACGCACGCCATGTTGAGACAGTTCTCTCACTCCTACGACAGCACAAGTATAAGATCAACCTAGAGAAGTGTGAATTCGGTCGCACTAAGATTCTATACTTGGGTCATGAAGTATCCGCGGAGGGAATTAGGCCGGAAGATGCGAAAGTGGCTAGTATTCGAGACTGGCCACGACCTCAGACAGTTGCTGAGGTCAGATCTTTCTTAGGAATGTGCGGCTACTATAGGAACTTCGTAAAGAACTATTCTATAGTCGCCTCTCCTTTGACAGATCTAACTCGACTTGACACACCGTGGGACTGGAGTGATGAGTGTGAGGGTGCTTTCAAGAGATTGAAGCATGCACTCATGAATCACGAAGTTCTCATGGTTCCCGATCCGCAGAAGCCATTCATAGTGACCACTGACGCAAGCCAATACGGCATTGGCGCAGTGCTGGCTCAGCAGGATGGGAAAAAGTTGAGACCGATCGAGTATATGAATAAGAAGATGCCATCGAAGAAATTGGCTAAGTCCACCTACGAAAGGGAACTCTACGCTCTCTACAAAGCACTTGTCCATTGGAGACACTTCCTTTTGGGAAGRTTCTTCTATCTGAGGACTGATCATCAGACCCTCAAATGGATCAAGACTCAACCGGCTCTTTCTGATGCACTCAAGCGATGGATTGAGGTCATAGACCAATATGACTTCAAGCTTGAGTACSTGAAGGGAGAGTMTAACAAGGTTGCAGACGCGCTATCCMGTAGAGCAKACTACYTAGGTGCGCTAGTTTMTGAATTTGGCGTATCTAACGAAGTGACTCAATCATTGGTGGGAGCCTATCAGGAAGACCCTGTCACGATGGACATCATCCGCAAACTTCAGGCAAAAGACAAGGCCACAGAAAGTGAGTTTGTGATGGTGGATGGGCTAATATATCTTGGTAAGGCCGGAGTAAAGAGATTGGTAGTTCCATCCAGTGAACAGTTGCGTAGTTTATTTTTAGGAGAATGTCATGACGCAACTGGGCACTTTCGCTACAAGAAGACGAGTGCTAACTTAGTACAGCGATTTTGGTGGCCCAGAAAGTTAGATGACGTGAAGAAGTATGTTGAGACCTGTCAGGTCTGTCAGCAGGACAAACTGCGAACTCAAGCACCGCTTGGGTTATTGAAGTCATTACCTATTCCTGATGGTCCAGGATTGAATGTTTCCATGGATTTCATGGACACTCTTGTGACCAGCAAGAGTGGTAAGAGGCACATTTTCGTCATCATTGACAAGTTCACCAAGTACGCTAGACTAGTACCAATGCCAGAGACAGCCAGGACGGAATACGTCATCAAGTTGTTCAAGGACAACTGGGTAAGGGACTTTGGTTTACCAAAGACCATCATTAGTGACCGAGACGTCCGATTCACAAGTGAGTTGTGGAAGAAGATTGCAGAACAGAGGGGCAGTCAACTTCAAATGACTTCAGGGAATCATCCCGAGGCCAACGGACAAGCCGAACAAATGAACAAAGTGGTACAACACTTGCTGTGACATTACATCAAGCCCAGCCAAGATGATTGGGACGAGCAGTTGCCTCTCATCTCCAGCTTGTACAACAATGCTATTCATAGTAGTACCGGCGTTAGTCCTAACCGGTTGCACTTGGGATGGAAGCCTAGATCAGCACTAGATTTTCTCCTACCTGAAAACCGACCCGCTGCAACTCGAGGCACACTTGAATACGACGTGCAGTATGAGAAGTTGCTGTGCGAGGTTGTTGAACATATGAAGAAAGCTCAGCAAGCCATGATAGCTTCCGAGAATCAACATCGCAGACAGTCCACATTTCAGGTGGGGGAACGTGTCTGGGTCAAGGCTAGTGAGTTAGGACAGGAGTTCGGAATATCTCGTAAACTAATGCCTCAATACTTTGGTACCTGGGAAGTCTTGGATGTAGTGGGAGATGCAATGGATGGTCCTACGTACGTCATTCGTGTCCCTGGTCATCTACGCACTCACCCAGTTTTTCATGCCTCAAAGCTTGCACCTTTTGCTGAGAC